GCCTTCTCTCTAGTCTTACACTGCTAAATTAGGGACGGCTAGCGCAGATAGCCCTCGTGTGGCTTTGCTTGAAATTCAAAACAAACAAACTTTTGCCGGTTATAAACCAGTGTCTGAAGAGCCTATATTTGTATATTGAGACCATTTTCAGAGTGTTACCATGGGTAGAGGCACCAGTAGGTTTCTCTGTCATCTACATCTACCTTAATGTAACTCCTAGAAAATGACTTATATAAATATACAGTTTTAGGACTACTGCTGTGTCTGTTATGTCCCAGCTGGCCTGGTAAGTTCTGGATTGAGAGAAAGGAAGTATTCGACAATGGATATAACAGATATGATGTGATTGGAGTATTGTTATTATGTATTCTTCTAATTTGTGAAAATCCCTGGGGGACTAGATTAAGAATGTAGAGATTTAGAAATAGAATAGGCCTATCGCTAATGTCGTATGACAAATAAAGCAGATAAAAGGATGAAAGATACGAAGTCAAACGTAATTTTAAATACGTCAAAAGTTGTTGATATGTAATGTTGCATAAATAAAAATATTTGATAATGAAAGTTGTTGGAAGTAACTGTTTGTTTTGTTTGTAATTAAGCACAAAGGGCTATTTGTGCTCTGCCCACCACGAGTATCGAAACACGGATTCTAGCGTTGTAAGTCCGCAGACATACCGTTTTGTTTAATATAATAAATTTATCACAAAATAGTATAAACGGTCTAACGTAGGCTTATCACTGTATCAGGGTTTTCAGTAGGATCTAGAATTCGCGTTGGTTAATTGGCCCTGACAACAAAATTCACCCTAGTGGCTCAGCGGTAAGTCTCAGGCTTATGGTGCTAAAAATCAGGTTTCGGTACCCGTGGTGGACAGAGCACAGACAGCCCATTGTTTTGGAGTGAACCAGTTAAACCAGAAAAGAAACACAATTAGAATCCCTAGGGGATAAATTAGAATTCTGATGAAGGGCCGGTTAGAAATTTTGCGAATTTCGGACCTTGGTTTTAGTACTGTGTAGATAACGACAAAACCAGTGGTATAAAAATTGAACTGCTGTGTTTTCTTTACTTTTGAAACTTGACTACAAACTTCTGAACATGTAATTACAAGGTTTGAAATCAAATTTGTATTCTTACTAGAGCGGCATCTATCGTGAATTGATTTGTCGTAATGGGTACTGTATTCTGATATTATCAAACCATGTTTATGAGTTAAGGATTTTTTTTGCATTAATCGATGTGAGATGTTGCAGTTCCCCAATTTTTTAGAGGTGTACGAATTCCTGACAGGAACTGAATTAGTAAGCCTATAAATTCACATGTTTTTAAGACATACCTTTTTTTTCGTATTTCGTAAAATTTATGGGCCTGCGTGATTGTGGTTGGCTGATTACTAAAATAAATTATTGCGTTGTGACTTAAAAAAACAACAAAAGTACATTGACATTTAAAAAGTTTTTATATTAAACTGTTAAATGTTTTATCGTAATATGTATGTTTTTATTTATGTTGTTAAACTTAAATACAGTGAAAGTAGATTTTAAAGATTCGCATACTAGCCCTATCTCATACGTTATCCAAAACACGTGCGACACGGAACAAACTTTTGAAGTTGAACAAAATCTTGAATGTATGTAGCCACTACTCGTTAGTTGAGAGAATATAAACTATTTAACAACGTCACTATATACTATAGTAATTGGTTTGTAAAAAATACATATTTTATATTTACAGTTACAAGCATAAATTTATTCAATCTTCTGCTAAGTTTGACTTTTAGACTACCATGTTTCAAGCTGTGAACAACCGATTGTTATCATCTTAGTATTCTTACTCGTACTTAACTTACCTAAGATCGTTGTTAAAAAAAAAAAAGGCAGGAGGACTAATTAACTCAAACAGAAAGCGGCTTTAGCAGACAAAAACTAGTAACTAGTGAAGTAGTTTCATGTTCGATGTCAAAAATTATAAAAGTTAGAATGATATTTTTCTTTATATCAGGTTACCTTGTAAATATAATTATACACCGACTCATTTAGGAGTGTGATAATGATTTCTTACAAATTACGCAGAAGGGATGGGCGATTACAAGATTTCCTAAATATTAATAAAATTTATTTATTATACTTACAGAATAATGTACGTACAAGAGCGTCAGAGAAGACTGCATGTAATAATATGTCACGCTTTGAACAAAAATAAATATAGGCATAACAATTGGTTAAGCCTACTTTGCATATGCTGGAAGGATTTTTATCAGACTTATAGGCCTAATTTAACTATTAGTTTTACGCTACTAATGCCAGCATTGGTGATAGAGGGTATAACTCAGAAACTCATACGTAAGGCTTTTCAATTAATGTATTTTGTAAACATTCATTAAGATGGTGACTTTATATTAAAAGTACAGTATCATTTTAATGGTTTTGAGTTCATTAATATTAATAATAATTAAAATACGTAAATTGTACAACTTACGTGTATATCACATACCAGCTTTTGTCAATGAATTTCGTATATCACGCATGTATTCATATCTCTTTTGAGTCGATATCATAAAGTTATAAATGGGTCAGGTTCGTTGAAATGAATTATTTAATAACGAAGTTATACTGTGTATATAATATTTACATAAATGAATATTGTTATTTTCTGTTCATATTTATAGTATTAGTTAAAATGATGTTGATACATTTTGAGCGGTATTAACTTTTAAATATTTTTATTTATATAATATATATTTTCTGACTTTCTCTGTTCAATAATAATAGGTAGAGAGCTAAACAAGGTGCGTTTTTAACAAATTGGCAATTTACCTAGTAATGATTTGTTTTGTTTTTAATCTTATGCTTTTTTAATATGCTATTATACTTTTAAATGTTCTAGATTGCTTTAAGTATAGCTATATTATTATTAAGAATTCTGGGAAATACAGACAAAGTGCATAGCTTTGAAAGGTACTTTTTATTCCACTTGCTTTCTACGTCATTTAGGACTTTGCTTTTGGAAATTTTTTAAAGTTAGTGATATAGAGAGCTTTTCTTATCCTTAGAAATAGTAAATATTCTGTTATTTTAAACTATAACCTATAAAGTAACTGATATTATTATTAATACAACTAAATGTGTACGTAATATTGTTAGACTATTTCGAATGTCGTAATAATGAATGGTGAATTGTAGACTTAGAACATTTTAAGTTTTTTTTTTTGTTAAATTCAAGCTCCAGCCTTTGTCCTTGTATACTTCCCTCAAGACAAGACTACCACCATTGTTCCAAAGAGAAAAGTAGAAGGATGGATTTCTCCAGGGAAGAAAGTAGAAATTAGGGCTGGAAATAACAAGTTCCAGGGCACTGTCATTGGAGCAGATGGTAAACTAGTATATAACTTTACAGTCGTATAACTATAACTAAGTTATAACTAAAAAGTACCAACTTAGAAATAATAAGACTAGTATTATAAGTTAGAATGAAAATTCTTAAATTAAAAAGATATTTTCAATACATTCATATAGATAATACAATATTTTTTAGCTATCTTTTGACCCGCTTAAAAAATCGTCAGTAGGGCTAATGGACAATATAAGCGTACAGTTTTAATTATCAAGGTTTGAAAGAACAGTATTGGGAATTTTTTGGTTATAAAAGTAACAACAATGTTAAATAATTATAGATATTGTATTAAGAAAGAGAGAGAGAGATGAGAAAATAATAAATTAAATTACACAGTGAATATTGTATAACTATAAATATTAATTAGCTATAATATAGTGATTTCATTTCAGTTTAAATTTAATATTATACACACTACAATAGGATGATTCGTAGAATATAAATACTCAGGTATTTTATAAATCTAAACTATTTCTATTTTCAATTTGTTTCTTATCATAAACAACACTATAGGTACCTGTAGAGACTTGGAAACTAAACAAATTTGTTTGTCTCGGTTTTTGTATACAGAAAATGATCTTATAACTAATGAATTATTAATTTATTGTTAATGGTCAAGTTTTTTCTCCCTTTTGCATGCTTGTTTTCACTTTTGATCATGACAGTAACTGGGTTAAATAAGCATCACAAACCTATAAAAAAAAGTTATGAAAATTAATATTTCTTTGCATTTCCTTTGAAATTACAATGTTGAGAGTCATAGAGAGGCAGAAAAGAACTGGTTTTGTTTTTTAAAGCCTATATTTGATATTTTAATATTTCTGACACTTACCAATTTTATAAGATATCACTCCGAGTTAATAAATTCAGGATATTATTGAATGTTGTTTATACAGATAGCAATGAACCGTTGGAATTGCGTAGAGCAGAATTTGAGAAGGAATGCTTCAAAGGAAATAAACATATAGATGAAGAAGAAGCCGTGAAAAGATTCATCACAAAAAGAGGGGCTATTATGGATGAAATGGCACAGTTAACAGATACTGAAACAGATCCTGCAGTTGGCATCAAAAGAAGAAAAATCATTTATCAAGCGAAATTTCAAGGGAAGGTGAGAAACTCTGAATTAGACATTTCTCTTGAGTAAAAAAAAATATACAAATGATTTATTTGAAGCTGGTTTGAACACATACACTGACCTTGACCTGTATGAAGTATCCTGACGTGAAGTTATTGAGGTGTCCTAGTGATCACTGTCTTAATGTGATGTAGCACTACCATTCATCTGAATAGCTGCTGTCTATTCGTGAGAGGCATATTTTGAATTAAGTAACAACACGTGAGTAATACAAATTATTCCATTACTATTCTTCTAGCTTGGCTTGTTGATGATGGTTGGAAAAGTCTTGTATAATCTTTTCCCAGATTCTGTAAGATAGGTTTTTGAAGTTAAGACTTGGACTCTCATTAGGCCATACCTATATTTCCAAAAAATAATAGGTGGGCTTACCTTTTTAATTTTTTGGAAGTGCGGGTGATATCAATGAGCATATAGTTGTGTAAGCACTTAGTAGATAGGTTCCACCCCTAATTTGTAGAATACATCCAATGCCATAATAGCATCACTGTAGTTCTTTTACATGTTATTCATCTGCCTGCATAGAGACCCATATTCAGCCATTGCTTCAGAATGGAGGAGCTGATCCCATACTTCTATAAAATTGACAAACATCCATCAAGACTAGTGCCATGGCTCGTGTACCTCAACTATTCAAAAGTACCTACATCTAAAAAGAAGTTTGTTGACAGGACTGACAGATGACACCTTTGAAAGCAAGATCACATTTAGTGCTATAAAGTCACTGTAAATTGCTTGCCAAGGTGGTTTCTGTCACTATTATGTAATTTCTTTTATCATTTGGTGGTTTAATGCTGGAGGAGCTTCATTCTGATCCTCCAACCATAAGAAGGCAGTTGCTAGTAGCAACCAATCTAGCTTTTATTTTTTTAATATCTATTATTGTGTATCATTTATTTTGTATCGTTAACACCGTGTATTGAATGTAAGTAAGTCTGTTTTCATACTTTTATTACTATCGTACACTTGAGGAGTTTTTCACAGGATCTCTTTCCTCCATTAATCTTCTCAAGATTCTTCTAATAATAATGCCCAGTTCAATTTGGTTTAAATAACACCTGTAATTCTAACATTTGTCGCATTTCAGTAGAACTTCAGGCAATTGGAAAAAGTTTTTAGACTTTTGTGTTATTAAGTTCCCGATGATGTTGAATGGTTTCACAAAGAGAATAGCCACTGTGACCAAGTACTGAAACATAATTTTCTATTGAATAGAGTTGTTTAAACATTTATTTAACAACAAGGGAAAGAATAGACCATTCCAAGCTTATACTTGTTAAACAAATGTTTAAACAACTCTACTTATTCAATTATGTACCAGCTGCCTAGCGTTGGCTGACAATACGAAGAATTAAATTGTGGTGGAATGCTACAAGTTCTGCAAATACCTATAGAATGATAGATTTATTTTTTGTGAATGTAAAACACTTAAGTACACCATTTCATTATTTTTCATTGTTCTCAAAGTCTATAATATCTCTTATTGCAATTTTACATAATTCAGTTTGAAGACACCTTGACAATACCAATAGATGTGTCTGATATGTGTCTGCATTCTGGAGTTTCCTTGTAGATCAATCTTGGTGAGTCATTTCACGTGGCCCAGAAATGTCTGGATACTTGTGACAGGAGAGCACGTATCGGCAATTCACTAACATTTTTATATTAAGTCCGAGTTCTTGATATATTGATTTTCTAAGGCCCAACTCATAAATCCAGAAGAGACTTCCTAGAAGATCAATCCTTGTAGATCAATCTTGGTGAGTCATTTCAAGTGGCCCAGAAATGTCTGGATACTTGTGACAGGAGAGCACGTATCGGCAATTCACTAACATTTTTATATTAAGTCCGAGTTCTTGATATATTGATTTTCTAAGGCCCAACTCATAAATCCAGAAGAGACTTCCTAGAAAACTGAAAGTTTGACTTACTAGTTAATGGAACACTTTGCTTGGTGTTGCATAATTTTAGAGCTGAAACAAATATCTAAATTATTGACTTAGAATACTTTTTTTAATGAATATTTCAAGTAATTTTAAATATTTCAATATTCAGGGTTATATAAAATGTTATATTTTTGAGGACTTTTCTCGAGTTGTGAGCAGCTCAGATCTCACTTTGATTCTTAAATGCAAAACACAAGAAAATTTCATTGGTCTAAACATCTGAATGCAAACTATGAATACATATCGTCATGTCTGTTCATCCATCATCATAACATCAAATAAAGCCAACTCAAGTCCAGTATCATCTACAGTACATAATGTTTATAACTTTGCGCAGTGATTGAAATTGGATCAGTTTCTCCATAAATATTGGAAGATTTCATCTGATAACGTTAAACTTGTGTAAATACAAGTGTGGGCCCAGTCAGTAGTAAATGCTTCCAACAGCAATAAAATTTAAGCAAATTGACAGTTTAAAAAGAAACTTAATTAGGGCCGAATGTGACATAGCTGAGTTGACTGTAGTGTACAATCTGATGTATTTATCGTATAGGGTGCTTAATGGTAGGATAATATTCGGTGATGAAGCCAATACTAGATATTATTTAGCATCTTTAAACACTTGTACATAGCTTGTAACTTTTGTTACTGATATTATGAGTAATTACTTTTAATTTTCAATAAACAAGTTACAACAAATATACAGAAAGAGGTGTATGATATTTTCACTGTCTCTGTTGTTGAATATTTGAATAAATTTTTAATATAGGTAATCAATATTCAAATATCATAATTCACTATTTATTTGAACCCTACATAAGTAAGAAATGATTCTGTTTACTTGACTTAAACAGCTGACATGTTTGTAATTTTCTCACGGTTCTGTGTTTGGGAAACACTGTTGTTTATATTTGCACAGAAAATGCTACGTACAGTATCTAAAAAATATCTTCCTGTGAAGAATCCTGAAATATTTAATTCTTGAGGAGTGCCAGGTGTGACCCAGTGGTGAACTGTGAGTCTGAGGGTATATGTCTCTTTGTCACAAAAATACAGTTGCACTTTGGAGCTGTGGGTGTGTTATAAGAGTGATGGTCAAATCTTTACTATTTTATTAGATTAGTCCAAGAATTAATATTGTTAATACTTGCTTACTCTCTAGTCTGATTGTTCAAAATGGGGAACAGCTAGTCCTTATGTTGCTTCGTGTGAATTTCTAAAACAAGCAGTTTTCAGGGAAGAAAGATTGGCTGGTAATTTGTTTTTAAATAATGTAAATAAGAAACTTGTGTGAAGAACAAGTTTCATGTTATGTTTTTTCTGCAAAGATAGAATTAAGCAAGGATACTTTTGGCTGATTGAAGGTTTAAACTTTCCCACTGAATGTTTGTGATTAGGGGGCTATTCTCCCTCCCTCCCTCAAAAAAATGTTACACTAAGTTACATCCCTTACTTTTTGTTAATACAGTTTAATTTACATTTTTTTTAGGTTTCAAGATCCTCACTTTTATGGAACTTTTTTTTTCCCGTTGATATTATCGAATATACTCTAAGAATTGTTTTATATGAAGTATTATATTTTTTTTATTCATTAACCCTTTCCCTGTTTTAGGTCATTTAACTGTTTTTATTGATACTCTTATTTGATCACTCACAAGTAGGTATAGGTACGACTGAAGCATGTTCTACTAGTATTTATTGAAAGAGAATGGAATTGAGAGTCTTAGCAACTAAAAATCCTAGGTTTACATTTTCTCTTGAGTGAAAGTACCTTAACCTATCATTATTCACATGTGCTTTTAGTATAAACTTAAGTGACTCAGTTTATACTTTACAGATAAGTGACTCTCAGTTTATACTTTACAGACTGAGTCACTTTACTGTAAAGTATAAACTGAGTCACTTTACTGTAAAGTATAAACTGAGTCACTTATCTGTAAAGTATAAACTGAGTCACTTAACTGTAAAGTATAAACTGAGTCACTTAACTGTAAAGTATAAACTGAGTCACTTAACTGTAAAGTATAAACTGAGTCACTTAACTGTAAAGTATAAACTGAGTCACTTAACTGTAAAGTATAAACTGAGTCACTTATCTGTAAAGTATGTACTGAGTCACTTTACTGTAAAGTATGTACTGAGTCACTTTACTGTAAAGTATGTACTGAGTCACTTTACTGTAAAGTATAAACTGAGTCACTTATCTGTAAAGTATAAACTGAGTCACTTATCTGTAAAGTATAAACTGAGTCACTTATCTGTAAAGTATAAACTGAGTCACTTATCTGTAAAGTATAAACTGAGTCACTTATCTGTAAAGTATAAACTGAGTCACTTAAATGTAAAGTATAAACTGAGTCACTTAAATGTAAAGTATAAACTGAGTCACTTATCTGTAAAGTATAAACCGAGTCACTTAACTGTAAAGTATATACTGAGTCACTTATCTGTCCATGTATGAGCAGAATTGGTATTCGTAGTATATTTATTGAGGAGCTTGTTGTACTATAGGAAATGTCCTTGATGGTTGTTTATTTGGGATTAGTTACCCAAGTATAAGGACAAAAATTCCCGATGATGTTTTTTATTCTTTAAAAAGTATCATGTACAGTTATTTGAAGTTATTGATAACCAGCTAGGGCATAAATGAGTTTTATTTTGGTAGTCTCCAGATTAGGGAAGATTTAACTACATTAACCCCCCCATTTATGTATAAGTTTCTGGTGAAGTGTTTTTAAATTTCATTATTATATGGTAACCTTTAATTGCTTTACTTTTCAGAAAACTATGTCAGAGAAATGGAATATTGATAGTGAGACTGAAGAATTACAAGAACCTTCTTCTACCAGCCATCAAACAATACAACAAGCTTTTGTAGATGCAAAGAATGATGAAACAATAAACGAACAGGAGGAAGATGCTAGCCTACAAGAAGAAAATCCAGAGAAGAAGTCTTTAACAGAAACATCTGTGGTAGAAATTGAAAGAAATAATGGATCTCAAAACTCGCAGGTTACTTGTAGAAACCAGAACATTAGTCCATTAACTAGTGGTAATGTGAAGGAAAGTAGAGCTGCTAGTAACAATGGCTGTGATAATGGTGAAGGAAATGACCAGAGAAATGTTTCGGTGCAAATTCGACGCAGGAAACGGCATTTTATGAAACACATTCCCGTTCGTCAACAGTATCGATACCTATTATCATCACCATCATCAGTTTCTACGGAATCTTTCAGGCCACCTTGCGTAGCAAGTTGTTCACCCGTTTCTTGCCAAGACATAAATCACCTTGCTAAAAAAAAACAAAATGTACATAATCAAAGTCCTGCTCAAGAATTGAATAATTTTTCCTCTTCACATGCTCAACCAGCAAGTTACAGAGCAGAAAGTATAAATGCCCAAGAACACCATGTTATTAGTCCTACATCCACTCCTCAAGGTAGAACTTCTTTTTCTTCTTTCAAAGAGGTTCCTTCTTCGAGTTCACCTTATCAGGTTACTAATCCTCCTCGTGCTTTAGGGCCATCTATTTCTTTTACTCCGTCCACATCCCAAGGATCACCAGCAGCTGCCGTGCATTTACATTGCAACTGTGGCTCACAGTTTGGAGAAGTAATACAAGAACTAAGATGCATCCGACGGTATTTGGAAAATATCATGAATGATCTAAACAAGCCAAGAAATCAGTCCTTATTAGTTGTAGATGGTCAACCCTCTCATGTTATTCTCAACCAACCACAGTCTCTGAATAGATTCCAAAGATCAAACCCTTCTCTGTCTGAACCAAACTATCAGACAACTGAATTAGAAAAACAACACCTTCGTATCAATGATTGCTTTCCTGTTTCTACTAATTCAACTCTAGAAGCAGAAGAAGACCTCACTGCCCTTATTGAGCCATCAGATCATTATGACCAAGAAGAGACCGTTGTAGAAGAAACTGCAAATTTACCAAGTGCTAGACATCAGTTAAAAGAGTTTGACAATACAAATGAAGATTACAATGTATCTCAGAGATCTCATCAACAGAACGAACAGGGGGAAATTGTAAGTGAAGCAGTGACTCAAAGCGAGTTTCCTCAAAATGCTGGAGTATTTCCTCTTGAGAATCAACATTATCTCAGTGCAAGAGAACTTGAAGAGACTCTTTCTAACTGTAATTCACCTCAACAATTTGCAGTTTGCATTATGAGGAAAATATTTACCGATAAAGAGAGGTTATCTGGAAATGTAAATGGTTGTGGAAAACCCCGTTTAAATCCTTTAAAAATAAAGTATATTAAGGAATGTATTGAAAAGTTCTATGAATTTGATAAGAACGATCAGACTGTGTGGAAGATGTGCGTGAAAGCTATTGATTCCGCAAATAGAAGTTTTCGGAATAGGAATGAAGTCATGAAGAGGAGAGCTGCCGAGGCAGTAGCAAGTGCAATACAGAACACTTTGTAATAAAAAAAAACTTATTTTTTGTGCTTTTTTTGCTGCAGTTGGAATATGTATACCTGTTTTGTTCTCTTAAGTGAAAAATTTTTTTGTCAAACTATTCACTGAAAGACTCGATATAAATGATATTGTTGAATCTTAAAAGATTGAGATTTTTTTATTGAATATTAGACTTGCTATCAAATAAAACTACAGGGATGATACATATTTGTTGAATTGTCAATGTGTTCAAAGAATCACCTTTATGACCAAAAGTATGGATTTTAAAAAAATATTTATGAATAGGTTATGAACTTTTGCGCTCACCAACAAACTATGTTTTGTTTCATATTTATTCGAATCACATTGACTGCTGAAAAACGAAACAGTGGAAATACTTACCTTTTAATAACCGATATATATATTGTACACTTATGTGTTAAAACATAATTGTAAATTTCAAAATATCTTTAATAATACTAAATAATATCCAAATATGGTCACATCTTTTTCCACTTGCTCGTACTTCTTTTAATATAGAGTATGAAATAGCTTGTGTGTTAGTGACTTATTTTATAAAAACAGTTCCAATAGCCATAAAAGGATTAAGAATGTACTTTTTAAAATGAGAAAAAAGGCATAAAAGTACATATTATGAAACCCTATTATCACAAACAGCTATGACAGAGTATGATCAATAATAAAAATTTTTATGTGGTTGTATAAACAGTAATTAATTTTATTCGTCTTTTTTTTTATGATAAATATCCAAGCATATAAAAAAAATTAGTTTCATAAGTATATTTCATATTATTATTAATTCTGTCATTTATAGATAAATTTATAGATAATCAACTCCTCTAGGTACATTCATTAGCAGTAAATAAAAAAATATATGTATATTTAATACGGAGTGTTGAGTATGCTATATTAAAATGACTTTGGAGCTTAGTCAACCACAGTATTACCAAAAGATTACAATGAAGGAACAATAGTTGAACAGCAGAAAGTTTTTTATTTGCAGAGAAGAAGTCTTCAACAGAAATATCTGTGGAGGAAATTAAAAGAAAGATGGATCTCAAAACTCAAGTTGCCAAAATACCAGTCCATTAACTATTGGTAACTTGAAGAAGAGTAGAGGTGCTAGTAACAATGGTCCTGGTAAAGTTGAAGGATATGACTAGAGAATCGTTTCAATAGAGCTTCTAATAACAATAGTCATGGTAACGTCATTTCCTTCAAGGACCATTGTTACTAGAAGCTCTATTGAAACGATTCTCTATGGTAAAGTTGAAGGAAATGACTAGAGAATCGTTTCAATAGAGCTTCTAGTAACAATGGTCCTGGTAAAGTTGAAGGAAATGACTAGAGAAACATTTCAATAGAGCTTCTGGGAACAATAGTCATGGTAACTTTGAAGGAAATGACTAGAGAATCGTTTCAATAGAGCTTCTAGTAACAATGGTCCTGGTAAAGTTGAAGGAAATGACTAGAGAAACATTTCAATAGAGCTTCTAGTAACAATGGTCCTGGTAAAGTTGAAGGAAATGACTAGAGAAACGTTTCAATAGAGCTTCTAGTAACGATGGCCATGGTAAAGTTGAAGGAAATAAACAGAAAAGTATTTCAACCAGATTTAATGTAGAAAATAGCATTTCATGAAACACGTTCCAGTCAACAATATTGGTACCTCGTCTCATTACCAGTTTCTAAGGAATGTTTCAGGCCACCTTGTGTAGAAAGTTGTATGCTTGTTTTTTGCCAGGTCCTGCTCAAGACTATTAATTTTTCCTCTTCACATGGTCTACCAGCAAATTACAGAGCACCTTTCTTCATGATGGTGTAAGATTCCAAAGACACGTGGCAGTGATCTAGTGGGAAACGTACATGTGCACGTGGCAGTGATGCAATTAAAATCAAGCCCACACTGGTGTACATGTAGATTAGTTAACAAAAGTGGGTTGACAACCCAAAATTGAAAACGAGAAGAATTAAAGTATAATGAAAAGTAAAATAGTGTGAAGATGATCCGAGGTCAGGTCAGGTCAGTCATCGACTTCGACCACAACAGAAATTGTAGAATAAAGTTCATGATTTGGTTATATAGAAGAATAACCATCAGGAAGATAGCAAAGAAAGTGAGAATCGGTAAAAGTACTGTAGAAATCAATTTCAGTGACAGTTTGGGCATGAGTAAGGCTAGTGCCAGATGGGTTCCAAAAATGTTGTCACCTGAGCAGAAACGTATCCGAGTTGTTGAAACCAATGCCCACTCCATATAGATTCGTAACTATAGATGAAACGTGGGTTCACCTTTTTGACCCGGTGACAAAAATGCAAAGTTTGCAATGGAAGCATCCAAGGTTCACCCATTCCAAAGAAGATCATGACGTAAATTTTATGTGATGTTAAAGGCGTT